TGTCTTCAGTCATGGACAGTTGTATGTGGCACTATCTAGAGTCACGAATCGGAGGGATCTGAAGATAATGATCTGTGGTGATGGAGATTTTGATGATAGGAAAACCACGAACGTTGTATATAAAGAAGTGTTTAATAATATTTAGATTTAGATTTTTGTTGTTGAACCCGAGTTATCAATGACCATGTTATTATTTTTGCTATTGTTTTCATTTTTTATTTTTTCCTTTATCATATAGCTTTCCGTGCAAATGCACGGGTAAAAAACTAGTTAGTATTTGATCATGTAAACATACACAAATGCGAATAATATTTTATGTAGTATATGTGTGTTTATGTAATATGTAAATTCATAAATTAGGTAATAAACATTTATATCAGGTTTTATAAATTTTATCATTAGTAAAAATTAATAATATAAATACAAATTGTTTAACTTATATATTAATTTATATATTGATGCAATGTTGGGTGATTATTGGGTAATACAATAATGTAATGAAAATCACCTCAGTTATCTCCTATCACGCCCTATGCTCATATGTACACACTCTTGTACGGGACCCAGTTTGCTCTTGTCTATGTTCGTGTGCACACACTACTGTACGAGACTTAATTTGACTTACCTTATGCTCATATGTACACACTCTTGCACGGGCAGGGTCGTCTCCAGAAATTTAACGGCCCTATACAAAATTTTCGATTTCGATTTTGATTTGTAGTTGTACATAGATATCTAGAAATTTTTAATTAATTGGACAATCTTAGACATTATTAGAATTAAATACACAAAGTATCATCATATATAAAAATAATTAATAAAATCATATCTAAAAGTATATTTTTTAATAATTCTTTAAATATCAAGAATTCACAAACCAGAGAACAATAAATTATCTATGATGTAGTTCAAAATAAAAAGAAGAAAAACAAAAAATAAATACGCAATGTTGTTTGTTATTCGTTGCAGTCATTTGAGCAACGTCAATTTTAAATATAATTAAAATTGATAAAATATAAATTAAGAATGATCAAAATTATTTATTTGAGAAAATTTTAACTTGTGTTAATTTGTGTTATTTGATTTTCATATGATGTAAATGAAAAAATTAAATAATATCCCAAACATATATTAATATTTTAATTACTAATATATATATAAAAAAAGGCTCCACTATGAATTGGGGCCTAGGCATGTGCCTTGGGCAATTGGCCCAAGAGCTGGCCCTGTGCACGGGATCTAATCCGGCATGTCCTATATGTTGGGATATGTGAGGATCGCAATATCATGAAAGTCATGGACTATTTACGAATTAAACCCTAAGCGCAGTGGAACTAGAAGCGAGGGTTTAACGCGTACCGTTTATTTTATTTTTTTTATTTTTTTTGTCGAGTCTGAGACGTTTCCGATTTCGGTGGTTGGAGA